AAGCCCATGCCTTATATGTTGTTTTTTACATAAACAGCTTTTCAAGTGATGTGTGGCATTTAAGGCAGAAACACAGTATCCACTTGATTTCTGGCAAACTTTCTCTTGAGCTGTCTATGACTTCATGCACCATGGAAAGAGATGTAGTCAAGTCACCCCTTAAAATTTAGAGGGTTGTGGGAATAAAGTCTTATTTTAGCTGTCATCTGTAGCCTCTTGCATTTACACTAATCATTTCTTCAGAAATTCTCTCCAATTCATTTGACATCTAACATTAAAACTAAAAGTAAGACAGTGAGGCTAGGCCTTCGGGATCTGCAAATAGAGGAAATGGCCTAGCATATAATTCAAAGGTGGAACATTACTCATAATGGAAAGCAGGTTCATTCCTCCTTCTTCTCCTTGGTTTGTAGAGGCCATTGATGTTCAATTTCTAATCCAATAATAAAGGGCACCAATACCCTTAAATTATTTCCTGAAGTCTTTACGGAACCCCATTCAGAAATCAGGAATAAATGTAGTCCATTGACCCGAGAGAGAGACAGACAGATCTGCTCATTCCTTTCCCTTCTGCTAAATGACATGTCTGCTGTAAAATGCACTAATCCAAACTCAGCCCCCTTTGCCATTACTTCATCATCTGGCTGACTGACTGTGAGTCGCACTGAAAGAGAACAGCTGTGCAACTACAAGTGAAACAAGAGCAGAGTGCATATTTGCAATGAAACAGATTGAGTAATCTGGAAAGAAAAAAACAACAATCACTGGACCAAATTTCGTTCCTAGCTGCATTTGAGGGTGTAAATCTTGTGAGGCCGGTGGATTCACTCTTGTTTCAGTCTGTTGTGCGAGCGGGATTTGGCCCAGGCACTGCAGAACAAGGCTTAGATGGAGTTCAAAAGCCAGCACAATTGCTGTATATAAACAATAAGGGTTGGCAGACACTTTCTTTTTGTTTTAAATGATGAATTGCATTGTCTGGTCTCTTTGTCATGCTTGTCATTCAGACTAATGCATGAATATTCATGTTTTTATTTGCTAGTGGGGTTGTGTGTAAAGGAGGAGTAAACTGCTTTTGTTCTGAGCTATTGAGCAAGATTCTCCACTCATTTTCACAGGTCTGAAACCAGGGTAACTCCATTGACTTCAGTACAGTTGTTCTTGATTGATACACGAGTACGTGAAATCTGAGCCACTCCCACCATGAGTTTCATTATTCGAAGCATAAATTATGGTTTTGGTAGAAACATATGTGAGTTAATGATTATTTTATTATTATGACCATTGTGTGCATTTCTAAGCCTGCATTATGTGCATTTGGGTACCTGCAAAACGAATACAAATCATCTCTCTGAAAAAGAAGCACCATCCCATGTTCCTCCCTTTTTAAGCTACTTTCATAAAGCTTTAGAGGCGATTGCATTTGCATTTCTGAGAATTTGTGCATGCTGAGTTGCCTCTTCATAGACTTTATAGCAAACAGAAAAAACAACAATAGAGCATTTAACTAATACTAGATGGAACTCAAAGGGCCAGATCCTCAAATCCACTGGAATAATTGCACTAATATTAATTCTGGCTGGGATATGCTTCTGAAAATGCTAATGAAGCATTATGCAAATTCTGCAGTAGCTGACATTGCTGTGCAGTTGTGTAAAGTAATGGTTCCTGGATACTGTACCGTATTCAATAGTCCCTTCCTGAACAGGACAGTCTAGTTCTGTTCAGGTCCAGGTTTATGGAGCTAGAGAGCCATGGAGATCCCTATGCCTGCATATTTACTATGATGAACATGTTTCTGATGACTCCTATATCATTTTGTTTTGTTTTTTTAATGTGTATTATGGCCTTTTGAAATTTGACAAATTGTCAGCTATACATAATCAGATGAGATGAGAGAATAGCAAAATGTACCCTGATGTATGTGACAGCCTGAAGTGCAAATATAATAGCAAACATACAGTTCAATAATTCAAATGATAAGGACGTTATGTAGTAACGGTGATTAGTAAAAATGCATATCATTTTTTTTCTTCTCCTTCTCTCGCTTAGAAACCACATTGACTTTCTTTTAACTCCCTTCGTGCACCGCCACATGGGTAAATGCCTGTTGTCCTACTGCTGAGGTAAAAGATGGCTAACAGCTCCTTTTCTAGAATCTCAACTGATAACATTGTAACATATTAATCTCATAATATTCCCTTTAAAATAATGGATCAAAAATGTGCAGTGTTTGATGTTTGCTATGCCCCCAAAAAACCTTCTCTATAAGGTGTGTAAAGTAGCAATGATAAAATGGGAGGGATAGCTCAGTGGTTTGAGCATTGGCCTGTTAAACCCAGGGTTGTGAGTTGAATCCTTAAGGGGCCACTTGGGGATCTGGGGCAAAAATCAGTACTTGGTCCTGCTAGTGAAGGCAGGGGGCTGGACTCAATGACCTTTCAAGGTCTCTTCCAGTTCTAGGAGATGGGATATCTCCATTAATTATAATGAAATCACCATCCATCTCTCTCTCTTAATCACACACACACACTTTTTAGTGGTATAGGACTGAAGCCAGGGGAGTCCACAGCTGCCTGTTTAGTACAGCTTTAACTCCTCCCTCCATTGGTGGAGAGGCATAAAAGAGAATTAATTTGGATCAAAGTGGTCACATGACTTGCCTTAGATCCCACTAGGCCTGATGTAGTGGCCCCTGAAGTCAGGGAATCTTTCCATTTATTGTCATGGGCTTTGGATCAAGCCGATTGTGAGTTTGACTGGGCAGGAACGAAACACAAACAGGAATCAATGTGATGAATATGTAGGTCTCGCTTATCATAGATTTTAGAGGGGATAAGTACCTGGAAAGAAGCCTAGAATTAGTACCAAATTTTATTTCTGGTGTTTACATAAAACTAGGTCATATTTTAAGGTCAAGTGGCAGATTAACATTTCATGAAACACATAAGGACAGATCAGATCAGAATAAGAGTAAATATGCATCTTTTAAATAAATGTCTTCATTGCTTGTGATTTCCCCAGTTTAAGTGTTGATGAATAGGAAAAAGAAACTTGCTCAAGAACAAGTGCATAATGGCCAGAACTAGACAAATGTCATTGGAAGCAATGCAATAAAATGTTCCAGCCAGAGCCAAATGAAATAAAGATGAGCTGAAGAGCAACTAGTTATTTTTGCTAGGGGCTTGTGGGCTTCTGAAAAGTGATCTCATCTAGTGAACAATCAACTTTCCTCCCCAGGAATTCAGATTAAATTTAATCAATTAATAGAGTTTCCATTTTAGCCAAACAGCAGCAAAAGTAGAGTTTTATGTAAATTCCTCAAGCTTTCTTTTTACCCCTGCAGAAAAATAGGAAGTGACTAGATAATGGGCTGTTTTAAAAAAAAAGTTAACTAATATTTGTAAAGGCACAAAAATGACCATATGTGAGTTATTTGACCTGCTTCAAATGATGTGTCGACATTGTTATCCTGAGGCTTAATATACTTGGACTGGACAATTCCAAGAATAAGGAAGGAGGGTTCTATAATTAGAATAATTACTTTCTGCTGTAATCAGTGACTGAAGCTGGTAGATGCATGCCTTTAAATTTTGCCCTTAATCTGTAGATGAAGCAGTTCCTGCAACTGTACCCACTTTTCTCTAAGGAATGTAAGGGTATGTCTACACTACGAAATTAGGTCAATTTAATAGACGTCGATTTTTTAGAAATTGATTTGATACAGTCGATTGTGTGTCCCCACTAAGCATATTAAGTTGGTGGTGTGCATCCACAGTACCAAGGCTAGCGTCGACTTTTGGAGCATTGCACTGTGGTAGCTATCCCACAGTTCCCGCAGTCTCCGCAGCCCATTGGAATTCTGGGTTGAGCTCCCAATGCCTGATGGGGCAAAAACATTGCCGTGGGTGGTTCTGGGTACATGTCATCAGGCCCCCCTCCCTTCCTCCCTCTGTGAGAGCAACGGCAAAAAATCGTTTCTTGCCTTTTTTCCTGGGTTACCCATGCAGATGACATACCACGGCAAGCATGGAGCCCGCTCAGCTCACTGTCACCGTATGTCTCCTGGGTGCTGCTGACAGATGCGGTACTGCAGTGCTACACAGCAGCATCCCCTTGCCTTGCCTTGTGGATAGCAGACGGTACAATACGACTGCTAGCCGTCATCGTCGTCGTCCTGTGGGTGCTCCTGGCCGACCTCGGTTAGGTTGGTCGGGGGCGCCTGGACAGACATGGGTGCTCCTGGCCGGGCCTCGGTGAGGTCAGTCGGGGGCGCCTGGACAAAAATGGGAATGACTCCAGATCATTCTCTTCTTTAAGTTTTGCCTAATCGAGATTCAGTCCTACCTGGAATATCATGCCAGCTGGAGGCTTCTGCCTCAGGCTGCTCTCCCAGTCAGCAGCACCGCGCGGTCGCACCTACCCCAGCCTACCCCTTGCTCCCATGGCTCATGAAGCCTGGACAGTAGTAAGGAGCAGTTCAACTATAGGCTGAACAAGTGCAGAATGGTGGTAGAATGTGCCTTTGGACGCTTAAGAGCTCGCTGGCGCAGTTTACTGACTCGGTTAGACCTCAGCGAAACCAATATTCCCATCGTTATTACTGCTTGCTGTGTGCTCCACAATATCGGTGAGAGTAAGGGGGAGACATTTATGGCGGGGTGGAAGGTTGAGGCAAATCACCTGGGGGGGGCTGCTGATTACGCGCAGTCAGACACCAGGGTGGTTAAAAGAGCACAGCAGCGTGCGCTGTGCATCAGAGAAGCTTTGAAAACCAGTTTCATGACTGGCCAGGCTATGGTGTGAAAGTTCTGTTTGTTTCTCCTTGATGAAAACCCGCCCCCTTGGTTCACTCTACTTCCCTGTAAGTCAACCGCCCTCCCCTCCCGCCTTTGATCTCCGCTTGCAGAGGCAATAAAGTCATTGTTGTTTCAAATTCATGCATTCTTTATTAATTCATCACACAAACGGGGGGATAACTGCCAAGGTAGCCTGGGAGGGGTGGGGAAGGAGGGAAGCACAGGGGTGGGGTAGTTGTAGGGGACCCCCTAGAATAGCATGCAGCTCATCATAGACGTTCTCCCCCTTCTAACCATACAGCCATTACTCAGAAAATACAATACAGCTGTATTATCATTTCTACGAAGCTACCACATGCCTGGTACTGGCTTCCCCAGGATCCACCAGGCTTGAGGGAGAGTGCTACAGACTGTTTCATGAGCAGGAAAATTCTGTACCTCTGATAGAATGACTGGGGAGGAATCCCATATGGATGTCTTCATGGAGGTTTTTTTAAGTCTGGGACTTAAGAAAAACCAGAGGAAAGTCTGTTTTCATAGAATCCATCCAGTTTTACACTGAGCTGGTGTAACCCACACACCTGTCAGGAGTTGTGTTCTATACCATCTAGTGGCACCAAGACCACTCAGAGAGAAAGAGTCTGCTTAACAGCCAGTTGGCTTTTCGCTCATGCAGTAGAGGCTCATGTACTATGCTCCAGAGGTCCCCGGTTTGATCCTGACAACTGAGGTCCGTCGGTGTTACACTAGGACAAGACTTTTAGAGTTTAGGCAGTGGTGTGTGCAGTGCAGATATCCACAAGAAGGGTAATGTAACAGTTTTTGTGCATCACTATCTAATTTCTTTGCCTTAAATTATGAGGCTGTCCAGTAACCTGATACATAGGTTTAAAGTTTAGAACTATTCAAATTAGTCTACAGACATACGACTTTGTCTTAAAAGCTGATGCTTTTTTCTTTGCAAAACTGGGGTATTTCTTTTCACAGTGGTTCATTAGTGCCATTTCTTTCGATGCACATATTCATCCTTTCCCCTTCTTCTTTCTACTCCCCGGCATAAGATTCTCATAGTGCTCTGGAATAAAAAAAAAAAGTATGGCAGCATTTCAAGCAGCTTTTACATCTAAACTTTACATTTTCCTTTGTTTGAAAAACTGGTTTTGATACCATTCAAAACTGGCCCCCAAATTATGCAAAATGTCATGTACATGAATGAATCTTTTAATGTATCTTATCGGAGTTTCATGTTAATAATAAAACCCCAGACCAGGCAAGTTTCACTGCTTGTGATTTGTTGCGAACATTAGCTACAGCTGTAATGATTATGAATAGCTTATACAATGTCAGTAGTTTTGGTCTGGTTTCAACTGATTAACCCTGAATTCTCCATATTCTCCTGGTACTATAATTCTTTCACATCCCAGCCTGTTTGGTATTATTGTGGTTATGTTGTTTGTTTCATATTTTTTCCCCACTAGTTTTTTGTACCAGTTTATAACAACTCAATTAAATCATCACAAAGTCTACTGTTTCTCAGTAAGGATCAGATCAATTTTCTTAGATTTTCTTCCATAACTAAAGTATCTATGATGTACTTTCTCTCTGCTTGTTCTAAACTATTACTTTACAAAATCCACTATATTCTTCTCAAGGTATTCTGTAACAACGAATCCGATGCTTGCCCTAGGTGAGGTTAGACCGGTGAGATCAGGCCATCTCCGTTGATTTATATTCAGTTCCCCTAGCAAGATACCGAAGCATTCTGCTGCCTGTTTTCATTGCTGCTATACTCTGGATTGCAAGGCTGTGAAATTTTGCCTCCACTATGGCTGTCAGTTTGCTTTCTTATTTATCAGTTACCTGTACTGCTTGAAGCTTTTAATCCAACACTTTTTCTTTTCTTTTTTGCATTAGAAAGGAGTTGGTCACGCAATCAAATGGTATATACAGTGAAACCTTCGAGAAAGAAGCTAACTGCTTTCTCCACCACTGGTGAAAAGCCATTACCCAGAGTACCTACAGCGAGATTGCTAGCGTCTGCTCCAAGAAGAATCAAATGGTAAGTGTTGATTTTCTCAAATCACCACTCCCCGTAGTGGTAAGACACACCCAACACTTTCATTCAACGCTACGCAATAAATCAACTTCATTTGACTTTGTGTCCCTTTTACCCTAATCACCAGTCAGCCAGTTCGGTCTCTGCCTTGTGATCAGATTACTGCTTTCATATTGGAGCATTTATCTCAGGAAGCACAGGAGTTCAGCCCAGAAAGATTGGAATGCCGATAATCTGCAGAAAACTCTTATTCGGCTTGTGAAGGAAAGGAGAAAGGGATTCCTGACACAGGCAGGTATATCATTGCACATTGCTTATGGCTCATTTTATTGAATCAGATGTTGCTGGCACAGTTTATGGCTAGCAAAAGACTGATCAAGGACAATTGTCAGTTGATGTCATGAATTCCTCTCCCTGAGTTCATCAGGCTCTGGGATTCTGGCAATTCTTTCTTATATGGCAGGGTTGGCCTGAAAGGAAAAGGCTTCCTGACCTTATCTTGGCTTTTCAAGGTTTCCGATCTATGCTCACTATTCCTTACAGTACCTCCTTCTGAGGCTCCAGATGAATTAGGTGTATTCTCCCTTCTCACCATGCAACATGACCCAGTCGGATTCAGATTCAGTCCTTGCTCAGCTAGCGACATATCTGGGAAAAGCCCTGCCTAAACAGCAAACGTCTTAAAATATCAGTTGTTGCATACCACACAGAGACTACATGTTCATCGCCCCCCCAAAGTGATTGAAATAAAGAACAGAAATCACTTCTGAAATGGCTAAAATAGTTTCCTCGGAGTGACAAGGTCTTAAAAGAAATCAACTTCTGAACAGTTGGACTGCAAATATCTATATTCATAATAAAAAAAAATCAACATCAAATCAACATTCATCCATATGCAAAAATAAAAAGACATTTAAACATCTCATGACCAATGGTCCCTATTGTCTTGCAAACAAAGCAGTTGTAATATTGTATTAGGACTGGGTGACAGGCCAAGCAAATTTCCTTTGGAAATTTCTGCCGTGACAGAAAAGTTCCTTTCAAATTTATCAAAATAACAATGAAAATCATTTTTATATAGAATCTGTATCCATATAGGCTATTTTTCTCACAATAAGTATCTCAGTTCCTAGGTTAGTGACTTACCATTGGATTCACCCTTTCTCTGTGTGTCCTATTGACATTAAAGCCCAAAAGAAGCTCTGCTGGTCACTTAGGAGTGACTATTGTTTCTAGGCCCAATTGCAAGAGGTCATTGTTCATGTTGGAGAGGTAGCCACTTAATACAGATGATTTATCATTGTAAAATACTTGACAGCCAGGGTGGTTGCTTAGGGCAGATGATCTCTTAATAAAGCTCTGGCCTGTAACACAAGCTTCACTGTAATATAAATTCCAAAGATGGTTGGAAAAAATCTAACAAAACATTTTTTGTCGAAATTTGCCAATTTGGTAAACTCAAATTGTTTTGCAGATGTGATTAGATTTCACAAAAGTTATGCAGAACCAAGGCAGGTTGCTAGGGAACTGCTGGGGAGCGTGGGTTTCCAGGATCAATGGGTTGGAAGTTGGGGCTCCATTCCCTTTCATGGAGAATTTCAAATTGTTTTGGTTTTTGTTCCAAACTGGATTAAACCAAATTTTGAAATATCATAATCCTTTGTGAAATGGAATTACCATTCCCTGTCCAGCTCCAGAAAATTATTTTTTATTTTAGTTTGTTGTTCTTGGATATAAAGTGCTGCATAAGTGCTCAGTAGTTTTGCTTAAGGTTTATGGTGCCTTTAACCTCAAAACAACTGATCTCATTCTGGCCAAGGTTCAAAATGGCTGCAACTTGTTAACAGCTGGACAGTGTTTGAGGGTTCATGTGAAATCAGTTGGTGATCTTAGTCCAGTCGTCTGTAGATGTGTCTACATCGTGTAAACCCACAAACTGGGCTGCCTTGCCTTGCTGTATACAGTCTTAAAACTCAAAAAGGAGGGGAAGGACTGAATGGACATGGAGCGTGAACTAACTTTTTCTCCTCCTAGAGTCTCATCCATTCAAACTGGAATGATAGGGCTATGTGGGAGAAGCTATCCATTTTGTACCTGTTCTGTGAGTGAACTGAGGGCTTCATTTTCCAGTGCTATTCATAGATTCCAAGACCAGAAGGGACCATTGTAATCATCTAGTCTGACCTCCTGTATAACACAGGCCATAGACTTCCCTAAAATAATTCCTAGAGCAGACCTTTTAGAAAAACATCCCATCTTAATTTAAAAATTGTCATGTTGGAGGATCTGCCATAGCTCTTGGTAAATTGTTCCAATGGTTAATGTTACCAATCTGGCCCCTTTCTTACTGCTTACATGCACCTTTTAATTAAAAACATGCCATTTTCTTCATTAAAATCGTGCCAGAAAATGCACATGCAAAGCAAAATGACTGAATTACACCACTAGGAAATGAAATAGGGAGCAGGTAGAGTGTTATCATGTTGGCAACAACTAGGCTCTGAGATGCCAGACAATGAAGATAGGAAAATTTAATTTTAAACACTTGGAATAAAAGGAACTCAGGGAAACAGGGACTTAAGAAGAAAAAAGGCCTGGAGGAAGCAGCTGCAACAAGCAGAACTAGCAATGAGGGAGGGAGGAAGGGCACAGGTGCCCACATGCATTATTGCCAGTTTGACAACGACTCCAACATCATCAGAGTGGGACTTGTTCTCTTCTATATCAAAAAGACAGCTGCATTGCAATCTGCTGTTTGTGTAGGAAAGGTGTTAGTGGAGAGCAGGATGGTGCACCCCTGGGAATATTTGCTTTAAGAAAACACTAAAACAATGAAGGAGGAAAAACACGTGATGCACGCAGCAGGTTACCAATAGTGGGGAAGATGAGGGTACAGCTGTGAACCCTTCACTTCTAAAAAGATAGGGAGGAAGCACTAAGAACAAGCAGGCACAGGAAATCTGGGGGAACCAGACAGGAGCAGTCTCTCCTAGAACCTTTGAAAGGGGCTAGATTTGTCTCTTTGTACATAAAGAGTTAGCCCTAATGAATGAGCCTCTCAAATAGGGCATGAACCAACTCAGTGAAATCAATGGCAACATTCCCATTCACTGGAATGGATCTAAGATGAAGCCCATCAAGGGCAATGCCAAAAAGGGGCATTGTTAAGGCTGACAGGCACAACATTTGATTTTTGACCTACTATGTTTTGGCTGCATATGAAAGGCCCTGGTAATATCTCTTTTTTTCAAAGAAAACACTTTCCTAATCCTTTCCTATAGGAAAAATAAAGATATTAGCCCAGCTTCTGTGAGCTTCCTTGCAAAAAGAAAAAAAGAGAGGGAAAGAAAACGGTTTTGCTAGTAATAAAGTAATTATAATTATAATTAGCACATATTTAGTGCTTCACATTTTCAAAGCACTGTACAAACATTAGCTAATGAATATTTGGTAAGCAAACAGATTTCAAGCTTCGAGGAGGATTATTATAAACTGTGAGAAAAATATTTTAAAACATTCAGGTGACTTGTTCTCATTGTTCCTATATTTACAAGGCGAGTAAGCATTGCTTCACCTGTATCTTAATTATAGTAAGAGATTTTCTATGGTCTGTTATATTACTTAAACTTTTCTGTCTTGAACAGGATCTTTTTAAAGTATATTGTGTGGAGATAAGGTAAAGCTTTTTAAAGCCATTTATTGTTGTGGGGAGCAAATACTGAAATAATGAAAATCATTATAATGATACTAATGATAATCATACTTTTCTGTACAATAGTGACTTTCATCTGAGCTTTTAATATGTATATTAAGGCCACAATAATGCAAGATGCTTTGTGGAAGCATAATCCTGCACCTGCAAAGAACTGACAGGATCAGTACCTAAGATTAAACTGCAGGACAAACTATGAGGTAAGTGAGGGACATCAGAAAGGTCACATCACCTGACACTAAATTAACAGCACACAGCAACACTACATGGAATGTGCCAGATGCTCAGCTGGTAGATGTATCTGCAT